GTAAATGCCAATGTGGAAATGAGCTTCTGCCTGGTTGCCACAGCGGATGCAAACTAACCGCATCTTAGAATACTTTGGTGGTTCCTTGCACGGTTATTCGTGATCACTTGGCACTCTGCATAAAACAAAAGAACAGCTCAAAATAATCCAGAAATTCAACAACAACAAAAAAGTCCTCTGCATGCTGAGTGCCAACCATGTGCAATTTAAGCACTTTTTAAATCAGCCAATTGTTAGAATGAAAATTATTGATTTTTTTTTTACACATTAAGATGCAGCTAAATTAAACAAAGATCATGAAATGTGTACATTGTCCTCCTAAAAAAAAAAAATCGACAAAAAAAGTCGATTTTTCTTCCTCTCTATCGTAAAAGATAACCAAATATGAAAAGACGAAGTCATGTAAAATGGTCCAATTTCGACATTCAAATATTCCCAGCAAAAAAAAAAAGCAGCTCTCCCGAAAAATCAGATTTTTGCAAATTTCTTTGGGACAGACATACAGCAATACCGCAAAATATATACATTTGAAATGAATGTTAACAAGTCCATGTATGATATTCATTGACAAAAAAAATAGTTTCACTTCTTTTTGTAAACACAAGATGGCATTTCGCTTAGCGATCATTTATTAACCCTTTCAGGGACAGCGGTTACTACAGTGGACGGGATGCATGAAAGGGTTCACTCAATACACCCCACACCAAAGGATAATTGGCCAAAATAATCGCGCCTTTGAGCTCAGGCTCAAAATTGATCCAATTATTGAGAGTTTTAGTTTCTTCTGTTAAACAGATTTGGATTTTGCGGCTGCCAATTTTGTATGTTATTCTTCCGAGCGTCTTTAGTCATTTAGTAATCTTGACGGAAACTGCATCATTGCGAGAACCGAGGGAATACTTCGAACTGGAGCAGAAAAGTGGACAGGGCATGAGAGGTGTGACACATCGATTTCAGGATTATGACTTCAGCCCTCTTGTAAGATAATAACAGGAAATTATGCAGCGCCATTTGCAGGAAGACCGAGGACCAAACTATTGTGACAAATATGGAGTGTGAGCTACAAAAAAAAAAAAAAAAAGTGCATTGTTTTTGTTGCGTCTTTGTGTGAACTTTGGGTGGTTGTCGTAAGCACATTTGAGTGGGTGGCTCTTGGGTTTACCATCAAGCTGATTTATAGCCAGTCCAGAATCATAAGCTTGACAATTGTATTTATTTATTGCGTTGGTGACGCCGCTCGCCTCCAGGTCGGGACTGCATTGAGGCAGTTTTGCATGTGTGTGTCTGGAGACAGAAAGGTTGGCCCAAGACAAAGCGTCGAGTCAGGGGTTAGATGAGGCCGAGGATGGAGACACAACTCCCCCTCTGCAAACAACGCACACACCAAACTACTGAGACAGCCTCATACAAACACCATTGTGGCAGTGTGTGTGCGTGTGTGTCGGGGTGGGGTGGGGGGGCGGGGGTCAGCTTTCCTCAAGTGAGTGAAATGCAAAGAGCCAAAGTCCACTTCCATATTGGGATAGATAGATAGATAATATTGACTCAGTCTGTCATGCCAATATGAGAACTGAAATGTCCGACAGGTGGGCGGGGTTTACTCCAACTCATGTTTCTTTCTTTCATACTTCCCGTCAATGCCGGCATTTTCCGTCTCACGGTTCTGCGACTTTGCTGTGTTGTAAGCAGTTAACACTGTCAGATGAGTACCGCGCACGATAGAAGGCTCGAAACGTTTTTGCAAAATGACTGAATGAATGACTTAATTTGTGGAGCAACTTTCAAATTTTGTGGAGCAATTTTTTTTTTTTTTGGCAGGTTTTTATTTCTCAAATATACTTTGGGAATAGATGCAAACTGTTTTTTCTCGTCTAGAAGCAAAGCTGTGTTTTACAGGCCACGCCTCCTGGCTGACTTTAATGGAAGTCAATTCATTTCCGGTTGCAGTTCTGTTTTTAGCGAGTAGATTTTGGTCTCCAGAATCCATACGTTTTTTTATTTGCCTGCAATTTTGCTCTGCAAAGCTGGATGTTGTCCACTTTAATGCCGTTCCAACCGGACGTCATTGAAAAATGTCAATGATCACCCAAACACGGACTTCTAATGTTAAACGTGCAAGCCGTGTCAATCTTAAATTCCATTTGACTCCTGGACGAAAATAATCAGAAAGCAAACTTATTTCATTCATGCTTGGGTTTAATGTCCACCACCCAAATTCTGATGCCCCCCCCCCTTGATTTAACCCCCCTCCCCCACCCCTTCTGCACACCACTGCAGCCAACTACTACAAATTCACAAACGCACTGAAGTAAACCATAGTCCCGCAACGAAAATGACACTGCGCCCATTTTTACGGCAAGCGCAGCAGACGACTTTCTGTCAACAAATCTACAGATGAGTCGGGGGCGAGGAACCCACGTGAGCAACAAAGCCCCTAACATGCTAAACTAAACTAGACTTGCGCTGGCACGAAAATGAAGTTACTTCCCGGTTACTGATTAATGCAAAGGGATTTCAGTTTGATACGCACTTCTGAAAAAACTAATTTGCTTCAATAATTTGGTTTAAATCATTCTCTCGTCGTCGTTGCAGTTGCCGTTGAAGTATCGTTTTTAATTTCAAATAGTCATTTATCATTTACGATACCATGACATCATTTTTAGCGATTATTTAGTAAAATAAGACTAAACAAATGAATTGCATGAATACATTTGAATGAACCAATTTTAGCGGGCCGGTTTGAAGACTTTCTTGAATATTCCTAATTTTCCCCTGTCACTGTGCGAGAAGTCACTGGGCTGAAAGTTCATGCAGGTTCATGAAAGTTTGGTTCTTGGAATCATACTTTCGAGTTTTTTCGCTGCAAAGACAATTTATCCTTCGAGTGTGTGTTGGTGTGTATCTTGTCAACTGTGTGTCACAAGTGGGTGGCGCCGACCGCGGCGTTTACACACGACGCCGCGGTTGCGGTGCAAGCTCGGTGCTCGCCGGTGACATGACGCGGCGACCGTGCCAGCAGACACACCCCCGCATTTGTTTCACAACACACCGACAGTCGCACACTCTTGTCAGTGGCGGCCGGCCGCTTTCACGCACACGCACACACACACACACAGTGGTCGCCGAAGCCTGTCTGGCCTGTGTGGCCTGTGTGAACTTTGGCTCACCCTCAGCTCTTCATCACACCACACAAGCTCACACCTGGATGCCGCTTGGCTGCAGCAGCATGTGGCGAGGTTACGACCTTGAGCAGAAGAAGGGGATGTGGAGGACAACTGAAAGTGAACTTGAGGAGTGAAGAAATAGAAATGGAAGAAGTGAATGCACTTTAGGTTGCTTTTTTTTTTTTGTTGTTGTTTTTTGTTTTTGATGATGGTGCTTTTGCTGTGACACTGATGGTGCTGGAAAACTATTAGCAGGGTCTGGGGGGAGGACAACCTTTGGGACATTATGTCTTAAACTGGTTTTTATGTATATATTATAATTACAATATTATTTCCAAAGGAAAAACGTAAGATAATGCATTGGTTTTTCGTCAGCCCGGTTCCTTTTGTCAACCAATCAGCACCCTCCAGGCCCTTGTGTCTTGTCCAAATGGAGTTCGTTGTCTTGTCACTTTGCTTGTGTTCAATTCCCCGGTATCGAAACTTGGTACTTTCCCGAGAATATTTCAAATCTAGTTCACTCGAATTTTAATGTTTTCCACCTTACAGTACATGCAAAGAAGGCAGGGTAAAGGTCAGGAAAACCGCATCCTAGTTTGGCTTCAAATGAAAATAAGTTGCTCAACTATTGGTCAATTTCCCTAAAAAGTGGCTTTGGTAGCGTAATGATTGACGTAGCTGACTTGCAGCTGGCGTGGAATAGATTCCCGTTCACCATCTATAGAATGTTATTTCTCTGTTCTTATTTGTGTCTCACTCATGCTTCCTTCTTGCAGAAAGTGCAGAGTTGGGTTTATAACAATGTAATAACACAGTAATTACAAAATTGATTGCCCACTTATGCACCACAGTTCAGGTTTAGCGAGTTGCATCATCTTGACCCTTAAGTGTGTGCTTGCGTGCGTGTGTACATCTGGGAAAGTACGTGCTGAGTCGCAATTTCCTGCGAGCGTATCTGCTGACCGTGCAGTTTTGAGTGACTTTTGCTCGAATTGCTTCGAGTGAACATTGTGTATTTTCGAGCCATTTATCCCGTAATAGATGCTTCATCGCATACCTTCACCCTCCTCTTCCTCATTCATCATGCATCTCGCACACTCACACATACATAAATCCCCCGCCGCCTCCCATCTCTCATTCACCATATGATATTCCTCTGTTGACATGTCCGCTGGCCTGTCGCCGCGGCAACCAGACATTTCTACTGAAATGTCCCCCCCGCCTGTACTGATTTGGACGACAGCCTGGAGCAAAGAGTATCAGCCACTCCACTGCGTCGCAAAACACAATCTCCGCCCCCCCCTTTTAACATTAACTATTAACAAAAGGGAAACTATCGGGATTTTGATTGATTTAGAAAAGAGTTATTAATTTTGACACCTTTCTCGTATACACGCGCGCTCACTCTCTCTCACTCACGCACACACACTCTGACACGTGCACACATAATCATAACATCTGATGAGCTTTCTTTATTTTCTATGAAAAATAACATTCCTGACAGTTACAGTGTATTCCACCAACAGTTCCTTTGACTTGAAACAGCAACAACAATAATAATAACAACAATAATAATAATAATTACACTTGAGAACCAAAGGACTTCATTGTCCTCCTTTTTTGTTTTGTTTTGTTTTAAATAAGTTAAGAAATAAAAAGTTGCTCCAAGCGTTTTATACATAGACGGCGTTGGGCTGTTAACTGTCTCACAGCGTCTCGCTCGACAAAGCCACGTCTTTCAGACTGCCTTTATCATCATGTATGTTCATCCATGTGCTTTTTGGAGGTCCATGTTAGGTGGCAGTAGTACAATGTGAGCGGGTTTCGACGTCGCCAAAAAAAAAAAAAAAAGCAGGGAGCAGCCTTCCCTGCCCAATGAAGCACTCGGGAGGTGTGAGGACATCCGAGTCCGTCCAGTGTTTAGTGTGACGCAGTTTGTCCGCCATCAAGGAGTTCTTAAGATTGCACTTTTATTTTTCTTTTTTTTCCGGCCACCGATGTGCACCTGCATCTGTCCTCATTGTCCAATGTGTTGTCCAGTGTGTCCACGCAACCTTTTGAAGCTGTTTTTTTTGTTTTTTGTTTTTTTTCCGGTCCCCAGAGCCTCTGGTTTGCTTCAAGAAATCCCTTTTAGGAAAACAGAAGAGTCTGTTATTACCTCTTCCAAGGCGAGGATATTACAGTTATCAAAAATTAACAACATAAACCAGGTAAATCATTTTTGTTCATGAAATAAAATAAAAATGCTCTAGAAAAATTAAAACAAACATAAACTACATCTTCTGTTGGTGACACCAGCAAGACCACAAAAATTGGAACCACCTTTTGTCCAAGTATTTCCAGGACATCTTGCTCAGATAAGTAAAAGAAAAATTCCCAAAGTGAAACGGAGTATCTCATGCTGTGCTCACCTGCACATCGGCACTACATGATCATGTCTCTCATGGCCGCCTTGCTGATGCGCTTGCGCCGTTTCCTCCTGCGGCGGGGGGACGCCGGCCTGAAAGGTGTCTGGCGGCTGGAGGGCAGGGCAGCCGTAGCAAGCGCTGCGGAAGACAAGGGCCGCACATGTTAGACAGGCGGAAATAACGTAGGCCAGAAAATCCATCCGCTCATCCATCACTTATTCTATTTAGGGCGGAAGGCAAATTGCGACCTTGCCTGATCAACAGTCAGTTGCAGGCCAGTTGTGAAGGGGCCATTGAGTGGGAATGGATCCCAAGTCAGCTATAAGAAAAGTCATGTTCTGTATGTCAACCACTACACTGCCAATGGCTCACACTCAAAATGTAACCGAAAGAAAGGAGCAGGAGTGAACAAGGCTGTACTGTTTTTTTTTTTTAAGTCAATCACTAGGCGATTGAAAATGTGTGTGACTCCATCCCAGGCCAGCTACACCAAAGTCAGCTATGTAAACCACTACACTACATACAATTACAATGCAAACTAACAGTTAAAATATAACCTTTTTAAGTTGAACAAGTGCAAATTTAGTCCTAATCACTGAGTGGGTTTTCATCCAAGCTAAGATGTACTTCAGCCAGCAAAGTGAATCGCTACAACTCAAAATTCAACAGAACAATTAATGAAGGCTAGAATCAGAAAATCAAATAAACCTGGAGTGTTTTTTTTTTTTTTGCCAAGTGCAGGGAAATTGTAATCAGATCACTATCGAAGAATTAATCTCACACCAGCAGCACAATTTGAACCACAAAACGACTACTGAGCAATTTGGAAATATTTGAAAATTGCTATGCAAAACAAAAAGAAAAAAGAAATTTGACTTGGATGAGCCAGTATGGCTTCAATAGTCCTGCGGCAGCAAGTGTGATATGAATATGCAAGGTCGAACTCTAACTCGGTACATTTTTTCAGAACTTGTAGTTGTTTGAAACATGCTGACATAATGCGAACAAACAACAGAAACATCCATAGGGAGATGGCCTAAAAATTTGCATCTATTTCACAGTGTTGTTAGCCCTCAAGAAATGGGTATTTAAACACAAACACATGTAGTCAGATAATATAACAATACTTCCAAGCGTATAATCTCGATCCTCTACAAAAACTAACAATATTACTGCCGTACTGATAAGTGAGGAGCTGAAAGGACTTACAGTAAATTCAGTACCAGAGGCACATTTGTCGCATCAGCCTTTTCATCGCACCGTTTGTATTCAAGCTCCCATCAAGAACGAACACTGTGACTGTGGAACTTACACACAGGTTTTAACTATTTCCAAGGTTACCTGATAACCTTGGAACTTTCATTTGAAAAAAAAAATGTGTGTGTGTGTGTGTGTGTGTGTGTGTGTGTATCTATATATCTATCTATCTATCTCTCTATATATACACAGGTATATGCCTGCATCATTCAGTTCTCTGTGGCTGTAGTAGAATAGCAGGACACATACGGCCTTCCTGTTCCTTCTTACCCATTATGCATTTTGTGCAGCAGCTAATAATGACCCGCATAGATAGTGTACACACTTTTTCTCTTGTAATTTCCATTGGTTCCATTAATAAATAATGATGTTGGATCTGTGTCATACCAATCTGAACCATAAAAAACACACACACACATACATATACTTTTACATACATACATACATACATATATAGCTAGCTAGCTAGCTAGCTAGCAAGCTAGATATATCGATTTTATTAAACGAACAGGGAGAAACTCAATTTACACTTTGCTGTGAATTTTTGCAAACATCATACAGAGAAGATACAAATCATTCTCAAAAAGTGTGTGTGATATTGTGCTTTCGGATGAAATTTCAAGATTGACCTGTATCGCACTGCAACTTTCAAGTTGAATTTCAATGTGACCTTCTTCTTCAAAGTGACAACTTTTGAATGCAGAACTGATTGACGTTTTCGTACTTCTTGCACAATTTGCTGTTTTCTAACAAGGAACTGAAGCGCAAAAATCCTGATTCAACCTATATATTTCCTGCTCCAACTAGAATTGGTACTCCAAACAGTCCTCGCCATCATGCAATTCTCATTTTGACATCATAAGAGTAAAACACCACCAAACAATCGGTCATCAGTACCTCGCCTTTGCTGGGTGCAGAGGTGGTTGCTGACGTTATGTTCCTGATCAGACATACTCTAGATTATCTGCCACAAAAAAAAAAATATATATATATAGATATCTTTATCTCGCTCTGTGGCGCGGTACCAAATTGCCTGTGAACCGGTCCTGGGCCGCAGACTGTTGAAGACCACTGACTATGTGGCTCCTTGTGAATCGAGAAGAAAACTTGACATAATCTTTACCTGGTTTTGGTCTTTGCTGAGGATGAAGATTGGGCTGGTCTAGTTCCCCCAGAACGACCTCCAGAACCTTCTGCCTCCTCTCCTCATCTGTGAGCTGACCTCCACCATTGGCCAGTGTCAAGTCTTTAGCCTCTCCCTGACTGGCCAAGTCATTGTCCCGTCTCCCGCCCCCTGTTGGTCCTTTCGCTTGCATCCTCGGGTGTGTCGGCGTCGCCTCCATGTTAGGCTGGCCCGTCACCAAGTCTTTACGGTTGCTGGAAGCGCGCAAATCGGTCGTAGGGCTTTGTTCTGATTGGGGCGACGGAGTCGGGTCCGGGTGGGAAACACCGTCCGACTGGGGGGCATTGAGTCTATATTGCGTCCTAAGATTCCGATCGTCAGAATCTCTGTGCTTGTCGCTCTGGGATGGGAACTGCTGACGATGCAATTCGCCGCCTTCCTCGCGACTGCCCTCGTGTCCGCTCCCCTGCCCAACCTGCGGTGGGTTTCCCGTTCTGACCTGTCCCGCCCCTGCGTCCGACGGCCAGCTGTTGACCGGCTGCGGCACCCTGGGCTGCGTCCAGTGCACCAGTTGCGTGTATCCCCCCTGCGGCCACTGCCTCGCCTCCTGCTCCTCGCTGTTGTAGAGCCGCTGGTTGCGCTTCAGGTCATCGTTGCGGTGGAGGTCGGCCTTGGAGCCTTGGGTCTTGGGTGGTGCGGGGTGCGCCGTCCGTGGGAGGGGTGCTTGAGAGTGGGACGGCAGGGTAAGCGGTGGCGAGTTGGGTGAGGAAGTCTGACATCTGCATGCCAGGTGGTCCTCAACCGAGATGATGGCTTTGTCATAGTGGGCCTTCTTGTTGATGTACTGGATCTTTATTACCTGCGCGTGTGCGCGCACACACACACACACACACACACACGTCTCGTGAGAATGTATTGTGCAAGTCACATTGGCATGAAGACATTTCCAGACAAGCTAATAACGCTTGGGAAATGTGGTGGCTTCCTGCCAGAACTGATTTTTTTCCAGCGTCATATTCCAGCATGTTTTAAAATTGACATCATGCATGTGGACACGTTTTGTATGCCGGCAGATGCGGACGTCTTTATTGGTGCGCCACACACGACCGGACTAATTTTTTACAAGCGTATGTCTACTTGATCCCTCTTGTCTACGGCCGTGCCTAATACCAAGCTTAGCGTCAGAAAAACTGCCAACTCGACGGTAACAAAATGTTCCCGCAGCAACTGTTCACATGTCCTATCTTGTTTGTATAATCTGACACAAAAAAAAAAAAATGAGAGTGTAAAAATGTCAAGGGCCCCGTTGGTGAGTGGATTCCACATGTGCATTCACACTGAAGCCAACGTCCACAGTGGTTTGAAACAAAATATTCCCTGTTCTGAGGTCTGTCAACACTGACAAGAAGGCTCAAGAAAATCAAAGGCACCAGATTGACATGCCAAAGGGGAATCTCATCTATTTGAGGGGCCGGCTCCACCATGGACTTGGGACCCCGTAAGAAAATATCATTTTGGGCCCCACTACTTCTTTCGTCTTACCAGTCAAGGGTCTTTATAATCCTCTTTAGAGCGCCCTTGTGTACGGGTTAAGTTCAATTGCTCTACTCTGAAAACCAGACCAAAAACCACCTAGTGTCTTGTTTTTCATCCAAATCTTTATGACCATTAGTCAAACTCATCCAACGGTGATTGTGGGAGGAGGAGCTGCGGGGGTGGGCGGGAGTGGGGGGGTGAGGTTACCTGCAGGTATCTGCTGGAGGTGACAGTCGGTACGCACTGCATCGGCTCCGTGTTGCAGCAGCCCGAACATCGCTGCACTTCCACACAGGGCGGCCACAGCATGAAGTGAGTGTTGCGACGGTCCAACATGGACCTGGTCACCTCCATCACCTCGGTCCGAACTCTGCACACTGCCTGCTGGGCAACCTCAGCCTCCACTGGTGAGGTTGGTGTGGGAAGGGAGTGAATGGAGTGTGGTCAAGATGATAAAATAGAATGCGATGAAGTAGCATTCGACAGGTGAAGCCCTACCGATGCTTCTGATGTGTCGGCCGTGTGTTTGGTTTGAGAGAATGCTGCCATCATCTTCGTCTTCTGCGGCAGAGAAACAAAGAATATGTTCAACTCTGAAATGAAACATAGTCCATATTTTATTGCCTCTAAAAGTTAGAACTGTGACCACTCCAAAAAAAAAAAAAAAAACAGGAACAATGAGGTGCTCGGAGATGGTCTGAGAGATGGAACAGGCAGGTCAGCACCCATGATGGGAAGGATGTGAAATTTAAAACCCGACTCTGATTTTTCCTGCCGTTTTATGTTAAAAAAAAGTGTTTCATCTACCAGACACTGATTATCTGATTCCGCATCACACGATTGCATCAAAATAGCAAGCTTGGCTAGGTTCAGGTAAAAGGCAAAGGCTGTTAAATGGCTCCTTTTCTGTTTCTGACTCTGATGTGGTGGCAATTTTGCAGAAATTTGTGTCAAAGACACAAGTCGACCCGAAATGTTTTACCGTATTTTCCGTACTATGAGGCGCTTCGGAGTAAAAGGCGCACCTTCAATGCATGGCCTATTTTAAAACTGTTTTCATATAGGGGGCGCAGCGCATTATAAGGCGCAAAGAACAGAAGCTACAATCGTGGTTGGGCTTGCGTTATGCACCCACTAGATGGAGCTACGCGAAAAGAATACAATACAGCTTTATTTATATTGCGCTTTCTCAACCACTGCAGCTGTAACAAAGCTCTTTACAGAACATTTCAAATACTACGTCCAGGAAATCAGTATATTGGTCCATAAATAAGGCACATCGGATTATAAGGCGCACTGTCGGCTTTTAAGGAGTGCTTTTAGGTGAGCCTTATAGTGCGGAAAATACGGTAACCTCCTTTCAAGGTCATGTCAGCACATAATGGAGGCAGGAAACGGGACACTGTCTGGACGGTCCTGCTTGTGCTGGGTTCTAAATAAAAAGGCCTGTGACAAAGCTTTTTTGCAGGTTCTCTGCGTGAAAGCGGCTCAGGAGTGGGACGCAATACTTTTAAAAGCATGTTTTTAGCAGAAGTCATTGTTCACTGCAAAAGGGAGCCATTTTCACCCCTCCTCCCATTTGAACAATTAAGCTATTTTTACCGCAATTCGTTTCAGGGCTGTCAAAAAACTGTTGAGGGGAAATATGAGCCATTAAATTTAGCGCTCGCACGTGTGTGTGTGTGTGTGTGTGTGTGTGTGTGTGTGTGTGTGTGTGCGCGCGCGTGCACGCACGGTCACACACGCCACCATTTCATATTTTGCCCCTCGGCTTTAATTATAACCCTGAGTGTGCATTAGAGCGAGGTTATCCCGGGATATGCATATTTATATTTTTTTGGGATTGTTCTTAATGAACCACTTGATGTGCCTCCAATTATTCTCAGAAGTTGTTTTCCTCTTCTGTGCCATTATCTAAGTTTTTGCATGACTGATTCCTTTCTTCTTTTTTTCATTTCATTTGCCTAATTGCGTTAAAAGTCGAAGCTCATCGGCATCCTCACACGCCAGCACGGGTCAGACTTCTTTGGAGCTGACCAGACGTGACCAAGTGCATGACAAAATGCTTTTTTGTGAGCAGACTTACTTTTGCCTTCTTTTTTTTTTTTTATTATTATTATTATTTTTTTTTTTATGATGCATAAGGAAACGTAGACTTTTTTGGGGTGACTTGACGCTGATGGGCAAACTCTGTGATGTCATATTGTTGAATGATGCGCCTTCATACTGGTGTGTGGTTATTAGTACTATAAACGCTAAATATTGAAAAAAAAACAACAACAACAACAACAAAAATTACATTTTGCCTCATAAAACCTTTTTGCCCTCATTTTTACATTTTTTTTAATGTCAGTCATTTTACCAGTTGGCAATAACCGGTAGAGGGCCCATGTGATTAGGGACCAATTATTCAGCTGCCTAGTTGGAGTCCAGAAGAGATTAGATAATAACGTGTTCTTTGACTAAACACACAATGAACAATGAGGGGACAAAAAGGGATGAAATAAGTTAACTTGCTCATAATTTAGGCCAACCTTTTTGGCTGCCAAAACAGGCTTGCGGGAAGAAAAGCATTGAAAGAAGAGTAAGCCAAGTTTTGGACTGGAAAATCGATTATTTTCCATCAAACCACAATTAATCATAAATGATGCACTCAATGGTGCATTTCAGACTCGTTTAGGCGGCAGATAGGAACTTTGCATTACAAGTGACTCATCTTGTCCCGTTTCTGTGCGTACGTTCGTCTCCGTGCTCGCTGATGTGTCATCGCTTTATTTATGCATCGCGCTTCGATCAAAGGATTGGCTTTTTAATAAATGCATGTGAGAGTTGATTTCACTGTAGGAGGATAAGATGGATGCATTTTTCATCTTGCCTGCATGCATATTTTCTTAGACTGTGACATTTTTTTTTTTTTTGCCAAACATTCATCAAGGTCACAGGTACTCTTGTGACGACTGCACTCTTGCCTCTGCGGATAGCTTGGGGCGGGGTTACAACTGAACACTTGCCTCCTCCACGTTGGTCAACTATAAGTGGGGTTTTTTTTGTTTGTTTTGTTTTTTCCCCCCTGATTACCAATTGCGTCCGCCTCGCGCTGCAGCAGTAGCTTCAGGTCGTCCACGGAGGAGACGGGTGAGTTCCTCACCAGGTCGACCAGCGACGCAGGGAGCGGATCGCCCTGCAGAGACACACAGACAAAAGTATGCATTGTTATCGGGGTTGTTTTACAATGATGTCGAGTGGCAGGGGTTTTTTCTTGCAAAGAAAATACTTGGTAGTACAACCGGTACAAGTTGTCGATGCTCGAGAAAAACTTTCCAATCTGTTAAAGTGAGGTGAACCCTTTTATGCACCCTGTCACTTGATAACATGATAATCGGTCCACTGGAGTTACCGCTGTCCCTCAAAGGGTTAATTGGCTGCCCTCGAGCACACACATTTGAGCATCTTAGTTCACGACAGAGTGCGGCAAGTTATAATCAGCTTGGAAAAAAAAGCGTGGCCTGCTGAGAATCTAGTACGACTTTTTTTTTTTTTTTTTAATGAACAGTAGTGCGGTAAATTAATGGGGAAACTTTTTTTACATCACATGATATATTACCTCACATTTGCATTCCTGATGGGTAAAAATCGATTTTTACTTGACGGAGGCATTCATTTGTGACTCATTCGGAAACTGCGTTCATGAATAAATTGACGACCGCTATTCCATGTAATGCCTCCTGTCATGACGTAACTTACCTACTGCGCACACACACACACACACACACACACACACACACACACACACACCCGAGTTAAAAAAAAAAAAATGTTGACACAGCTGCCCGGAGGAATTCTTCAATTCAGAATTGATAAGTCGCTTGTTTGTCGCACTTTTGTGGAAACATGATAAAGAGCGGTATGCAGCGCGGCTTACCGGGGTTTGAGGCAGCTCATTCGCGGGTGGAGAGCGCGCTGGTTGTATTTTTACTCAACTTTGGACTACAGTGACATTTTTACGGCATAATCAGAGCTGCAAATGAGGTTTGTACGAGCCGCATGAATGATTTGAATGCCGAATGTTTCAATCATCCAAAACACTGAATCCATTCAGCATGAATGATGAATAAAATGACTCCCTTTTTATTTTTTTGCTCAGGCACAAAAAAGTATGTTCACTCCCTGTGCAACGCAGGTGAAATTAATGAGATGAAAACTATTGTCGAGTCTTCCTCTCTGATGATCTGATCAGATCCAATCAGAACGAAGCATTCTCGGTGGTCTGATCCTGCAGCTTCTTCACATGTTTAAGATGCGACGACGCAAAACAAAAGTCCACATTGTGCCTTTTCAAAGCCCTTTCGTACCCTCACACTGTGGAAGGAAGTTGTTGTCCGCCCCGTCTCCAACGCTTTCACATTAGCGGACACAAGTCTCCATTGTTACACGGTGACACTGTCCCGTACATCCTTCCATCCGTTTTCTATACGGCTCTTCCTGCTAAGGGCCGACGGGAAGCCGGAGTTTGGACCTCCTGACTTACAGTACGTCGGCTACATACCAGGAAAATTACATTGAAATGCTTTCCCTTACTTTATAGTGTGTTTTAGACCTCTGCCAACACAAAATCAATCCAATTCAATCCAATTCTTTTTTTATTTTCAAGATGATGCAAACAAAAAAAAAAAAAAAGTGAAACCGATCAATGGAACCTCAAATATTGCACCCTCAGGGGAACTAAACTCGTTATGCCTCGACTAGTCTGAACACGATTATTGCCTTCGTGCAATAAGAGTTGACCAGATTAATTCAGCAATTTTCATCCATTTCATGGGGTTGGTATCTTGGGCAATATCACCCTCTGGAGTCACCCGAAATTAACATTACAACTAGTCTGAGCGTCACATGACCAAGCCCGGAAAGTATAGCAGATTGCCTCTGTAAGTAGGGATAACTAGCATAACTACAGATTGATGATAACCCGTACTTATGCTAGTTATCGCAACATATACATCAACCCTTAGTTATGCTAGTTAACACAGCATGCGCGGTTTTAATCAACCCATAGTTATACTAGCTATCTCAACGTATGCGGCGATCGTCAATCGGTATCTATGCTCGTTATCGCAGCATACGAGATTGTCATCAGCCTGTGGTTATGCTAGTTATGACGGCATCCCAGCTATCATCAACCCTTCGTTATGCTAGTTAACCCAGGATGCGCAATTTTAATCAACCCATAGTTATGCTAGCTATCTCAACATATGCGGCTACTATCTACCCACAGTTGTGCCCGTTCTCGCAGCAAATAAAATTGTCATCAGGCTGTTGTTATGCTAGCTATGGCAGCAAACACAGTTATCATCCACCCGTAGTTATGCTAGTTTGCCAACTGTGCTGCCATGTTGACAATTCTTCAGAGTTACAAAGTCACTTATATCAATCCATAACACTGTCTCAAATCCCATCTGCGGGAAAAAAAAATGTCACCAACGGTAACGGCATCTTTTTTATGCAGTCCGCTTTCTTGGAGTGGTACAAACGATTGCGAGTCTGTTTCATTTGCTTCCTCTCATTGATGTTTCTGCTTCAGCTAGTTTTGACCTTCTCGTCTTGTCTCTGTCTGCTGCAGGGTAGGCAGCAGCCTAGGACACCTGGATGACTTTCACAAGCCACTGGCTGACCTAGTTAGGCAAACACACACACACACGCACGCACAACCACACTACCACTTTGCTTTCCACCCAATTCGTCCAGAAATCCTCTCGCAAACAGTAGCACAGCCACAACGTGCTTTACCCGACATGAATAAAACAGTTGCTCCTGAATGAAGGGAGGCAGCAATAAAGTGGACGCGGAGCTAATAATACACTTCTGGCCCAGCTAAATGAGCCAGTTTGGATGCTTGGCAGAGTTACTTATTTGCGCGTTACACCTCAAATATTGTCTTTATCTTTTCTGGTGGCCTTGTTGTTTTGACTATTTCAGCATTTTCCAGTGTTGTCTATTCGAAGACACATAAACACACACACACACACACTCTGTGCAGGAAGCCCGGAGGGCACAGGGATCTTATGGAATGTTTGTGGAGAAAGGTGAGGTGTAATGGAATGTAATTATGAGGCCAGTTGGTGGTGCTTCTACACACACACACACACACACACACACACACACACACACACACACACACACACTGCACACACATTTCCATCATGGAGACATCATGAATGAAAATCATTGATTTAGCAGTGTGGCAAAATCAATGCATAGTATTAGCTTTAATTGGATCGGAGAATTTCTCACTTGAAATGTGCTGAACTTCTATTTGCACAACAGTACATATTGAGCAGTTAAGTGTGCCTGGAGGGGTTTGCATTTATTCAGTTACGTCCATCCCTGCTATGGGTTAAACGCACACTTAGCGAGATACGGTGACGTCATTAAGGTTTTTTTTTTTTTTCGGGGTCGTGGGGGATCTTAAAACACTGAAACATGTATTCCAAAATTGGTCTCTAAATACATGATTCATGTTTGAATTTGAATGCTGATATAAATGTGAAAAGTATTGAATTGGAAAAGCTAGCACATTAAATAGTTTTTGACCATTTCAGTTTCCCTGAATTTTTTTTTTTTTTTGCCATGGCTAAAATGGTGACCGGAACACACTTGGGCATTTGCCATGAGTCACTCTCCGCCACTATAACGATAACAACTCGAGCTGCCTGGTGACGTCACCCAAAGACTGACATCAGTCCCTTTTCATTCACAGTATAATTTGGACCGGACTTGCACTTTGTTAGCTAAGTCAACAACTTGAAAATGTATCTTTCCTGGATACCACCGGTGAATGGCCCACCGCCCATTCACCGGCAAACAGTAGCCCCGAAACCCCGTCAGTTGATAAACTTCCTAAAAACTGTGGCGTGTTGCGCTACATTCCAGCCACCGTCGGCAGTAAGCGCACATATTATATTCGGCATCAGAAAATTGCTTGAATATTCAAATTTGTTGCATTGTATTATTTTGTTATTATGAATTCAAGATGGCGCCGCAACAGTGGCTGCCTTTACAGCAGCTCCTATACTTTTTGTTCTTCCACTTTCTTCCTTTCATAACTTTGCTGCTGTAAATTGGGAATTTCTCCTTTGTGAGACGAATAAAGGTTTTCTTATTCTTATTTTTATTCTTGTTTGGCAGGTTTGTGAAAAGCACTCTTCACTGTGGCGGGCCAATTATACATCCTACATTATGTAGAAGACATGTTTATGTTCACTTTACAGGGACTTCAAGCGTCCATAAATAATTTTATTTATTCTGAAACATTCATTCATTCATTTTCTAATCCGTTTACCCTCATGAAGGTCGCGGGCGTGCTTTAGCCTCTCCCAGCAGTCTTCAGGGAGTCGGCGGGTTACACTGCGAATTGCTTGCCAGCCAATCGCAAGGCACTCACAGATCAACAACCATGCGCGCTCACACACACACACACACACACACACACACACACACACACACACACACAGACACACACCTAGGGACGATCTAGAGTGTTCATTTTACCTACCATGCATGTTTTTGGAATGTGAGTGAAAACCCACGCAGGCACCGGAGAAGATGCAAACTCCACACATATGGCCTGGGATTGAACCCTGCAACTCTGCACTGCGAGGCCGACATACCATTCAGGCGACTATCGTGCAGCCTTATTCTGAAACATCCCAACTTAAAAATAATGATAATCATAAAAAAAATAAAATAAAATAATCAAGCTGACACAGAATCACCTTGTTGCTAGGCAGAATCCAAAGGGCTTCCATCCTACCTGGCCCAGAGTGCAATGAGAAAATTAGCATCTGGCACCAAATGTCCATTGCATTTTTTGAATGATCAACTGATGGAAATGACCATGGGGGAAAAAAAACCCTCTACGAGCAATTCTATGAAACTTGTTTATGTATACATCTTTTGAAATAGATTCTCCGGTCTGTATCTCATACAAAATTTATCGTTGAAATTTGATGACATCGGCAGCTGCAACTTCCCACATTTTAGTTCCCCAATGTCCATGCACCAAAGTGGGCTTAAAAATCAAATACTCTTATGTGCCTTTGCGCTTTTACTGACACGCAACACATTCGCGAGCACATATGTCCAGCAACACGCGCAGCTGGACACGCGCGCACACGCACACACACAGTCGATGAAATCCCTCACAGATTAGTTGTTCTTATGTAAAATGGCTCAGCGGCCACCAATCACCCAAACTCAACCTCAAGGGACAATAGTCAGAGGGCAGCCTGTTCAAAAGTGTGTGCATGTGTGGATAGATAGATAGATTGATGGATGGATAGATTGTTTTTGTACATCACAGGGGCGGCCTTTTTGCCACTTGCTGTCATTTAAAAATGACATCACAGTTGCTCAGGGCTATGGTAACGACCAATCACGGTTTACTTGTTTTCAGAGTTTGGTCATGTGACATTACCTGAGCCCTGAGCAACTATGATGTAATTTTAAATCAGCAGCAAGTGGCAAAATGGCCGCCCCTTGAGATAGATCAAAACGGGTGGATTTTTCTGCTTAATTCATATTCCCCAGACACAATATTGATCAGAATGCCATGTTTAGACTTGTGGAGGCGCATAGAAAATGTTATTGTCAAGAACTCGTTTGTCTTGAGTTCCCCTTTAGGGAGATTTTTCATGTTTTTATCCTTTCTTTTTACTTTTACTTCCTACATTCAAACACGGACAACTTTATCCTTTGTTTTTCAAAGTAGGCTTGCTACTCTTTCAACCTCCTCGAATGTGTAAAAAAAATATCTGTGAATTGAAATGGTTGAAATCTTGATTGATTAATATCTCAGTTAGGCAGAAGTGAACAACGGGGCATTAACAGCACTGATGCAACAAAATTAGGGAATCAAGTTATTCCCCATTCCTTATTGAAGAGATCGGTGTCATGTTTTTGGCAAGAGTCATTGAAGAAACTTGCAAATACCGTAATCAGAAAACTATTCATTATAAGTGCAGAGATGCTTTTTTTTTTTTGAGAGGTTGTGCCAACTTGTCAAAACAGTAACTGTATAACTGACAGTAAAAATGGATTTTTTACTTTACTTTCACTTAACTAATAGAGTTGAATCAGGACCACATTTACCAGGTTTTTTTTTCTATCTGTATCTGTACTTTTACTTTAGTACATAATGAGTACTTTAGCCCTCTCAGCTCTTACCTCAGCGCTGCCGAGCCTCAAGCGCGCCGCCGAGAGCGCGGTCAGAAGCAGCAGCGGGAGCCACGACCTCATGTTGCCGCCCAGCCAGAGGAGCCGCCAGCGACCGGCTGGGCATTTAGCACCTCGGCGTCCACTCTCACCGCCGAGCCGCGCGTTTCCCTCCCCCTTTTCTGCTTTGGTGTGAAGGATCCCGAATATGTTGCCACCTGTCAGAGCCTCACGGTGATATTACTGACTCACACTCAGGCTAGACGTGTGAGTCCGGCCATGGTGGGGCAGGTGCGCGGAGGCTTCTGTTTCCACGGATGAGGATGATGGGGAGCGAAAAAGAAGCGAGTCCCCCAAAATCCAAACTGGCCCAAGTGCGTCAATTACGCACACATTCCACGCTAAACGCCACCCAAACCAGCGCTTACTATTTGAAGCTGCAGTCAAAAGGCGCTAGCGTCCTCTTGAATAAAGTCCAGCGTGGCTAAAATATCCGTGCGCAAAGTTGCGCGCGTCGTGCGTAAATCTCTCGAAAGAGCAACGCAGCCTCCCCCTCCCGTTCTCGCAGCAGACCATCCACAAACGAGCCTCCGCGAGCGCGTGTCTCTGTGTGAGGGGTGTGCGTAATAACCGCGCAAACGTGGTTTCACCGCGTCAACGTCACGGTCACGTCCGTCTCGCTCCTGCGCGTCTCCTCGCTGACTGCCTTTTAAAAAGCTCGGAGCGTCTTTTGAATCCGACTGCTTTCCACACTCAAGATCACCGCGTCCAAATTGGCACACGTGTGCAGGAAATGTGGTGATTTATTGTTCAAAATTAAACCCGACCGCCGAGGTTCATTCGGCGTTCGTGAATTAATTCAACGATTGCGTTTATTTTGAAGGGTACAATACGGAAGTGTTTCTCCCCACATTTTACCTTTACACCCACATACGTTTTCCTCAAGGGTCTTTGTAAGGGCAGGGCTAATCGCCTCTTGGAGGAGTGCTCATATTTATATTTAACATAAAAATCACACACCTTCAAAAATAAACTGTCAACGCAAGTTGAAATATAAATAGAAGGAATGAGTTAATAGGGCCTCAATGAAAAGGAAAAAAAAAGGGAAAAAAGGGATATAAGAATAAAATTGTGGATTTATGATTAAACAGCCCTAATTTGAGAGTCAGTATTGCAATGAAAGCAATATTATGGGAGTAAAGTCATCATTTTATTATTATGAAATCTTGACGAGATAAAAGTATCAATGTTATGAGAAATATTAAATTATAATAATATTACAAGAAAAATATATGTGGACGATAAAAGAGAATTTTCATGACAAAAAGCACACGGTAATATGATGATGACAATCATTTTATGTGAATACATTTGTTATTTAGGACAACAAAATCATAATTTTAAGAGGGTAAAAATCATAACGCCATGACAATCATAATTTTTAATTGTACATTTACGAGAAAACCTACATAGTCCCAATAAAATGTATACAATATATATATATATATATATTTTTTTTTTTAGTAAAATGTGATCCTTTTCATGAATAAAGTTGTAATATTATGAGAAAAGTCACAATTTAATGGTAAAAATGTGTGATTTTACAATGAAAATGTCCTACTGTATGAGGAGAACAATTCGGTTTTAATTTAAAGAAAAATGTGCCGTTTAATGTGAATTTTGATTGAGGAAAAATTCTGAAGAAAAGAAAATCAGTTCCTCAAATTACAAAGAAAAAGTAGCAATTGTATGAAATAAAAGAAATACAAAAATTAGGTTGGAATATTAAAAGAGGAAAATCATCATTTTAAAGTCGTTATGCAATAAATTCATAAGAAAATACATTTTTCACACGCTCATTTTTTACAAGAAAATGTGAAAAATGTCATAGTTACCAATTAAAATTATCCCGATTTTCTCGTAATTCTGTCATCTCTCCGATACCACAACGTTCTGACTTAATTTCTAATCATTTGTAGTTTGCAATGTGCATTGTTTTTGTGACAAGTGAGGCGACACAACAAGGACAAATTCTTCGTTTACCAAAGTGGCCTGAGACTGTTTTCCAGGAAGCTCACTGTCTCGTTTCAGGGGTCACGGCAGTGCGGGTCACTGCGAAGGTCAAGGTTCATGGTGGATTCTTCCGCTCCGCTAGTGCAGAACGGAGGAAGCAGGCCTCCCTGTGCGGCTATTCCTGGATGACACAAACACACCCGAGCCATGTGTATCAGCTGGAGTAAACGCAAAGCTTGTTGCGGTAAGTGTAGCCTGTGACAGCTTCAACGCATATCAGGTTTATGCACACTCTCACGCATGATGCATTGCAGTTTTATATTCCTGCAATTTAAATACGTACATCGAAATTCAAGCGATGAGCTGCGATGGCCAGCCCATGGCAAATTCTTGAAATGATCCATTTTGATGCTGTCTTCTGCCCGCATCAGATGGCAAAGGCAAATTAATAATAATGATAATAATAATCATAATAAATCTTGGCAATTGTTAGCCATCTGTCTACAAAAGTAGATTTCCTCATTCGAGTGGATTCCCTTGAAGGAATTTGTCAAGTGCTGAGCTTGGAATTTGCCTAAAATGGATGCTTTAAACCAAAATGGCTGACTTCCTTCCTGTTCATTTTAGGGGGACTTTTTCCTGCTTCTTCAGAATCTGATTTATGGGCCATATATGCAAAAAACAACACACACACCCACACACACACAAACAATTTACTTCCCAGTTACAACCCGTTGACAAGACAGCAATAATCAACATGGGGGCGGGGGGCGACGAGGAGCCTGGCGGGTCGTTGTTAAGTGCCCCGATAGCTTAGATGTGAAAGGAAAACAGTCGGGAAGAGGACAGGAAAAAAAAGATTTCTTGCTATGATAGACATTGGGCATTTTTTTTGTAACTTTGCTACTATTTTTTTGGGGGGGAGTGAGGTCTAATACTTCAGAATTTTTCATTCTACCAATATGCTTCACTCACACACAATGACAAACACTCAAGCCATCTCTCCAACATAGGAGGTGTGTGTGTGTGTGTGTGTGTGTGTGTGTGTGTGTGTGTGTGTGTGTGTGTGCGTGTGTGTGTGTGTGTGTGTGTGCTTGTGTGTGTGCTTGTGTGTTTTTAGGGTGACTTGGATTCTTGAGACTTTTTTGTGGGTCTCCTCATGGGCAGACCTACAAATTCACAGTACGGTACTTCCGCAATGAGCATTGTCATGTGCTGTTGGAAGGCAAACCAATTGGTCTCAAACGCTAACAGGCTCAAACTGGTTTTCACGAGACCGGAGGCAACGTGTGTGCGTGCGTGCGTGTGTGTGTGTGTCTGACTGAGTGAGTGAACTTCAAGTCAGTCCAGACAGTCAATCGTGACGTCACGAAAGGTCTCAGACAAGTCCCATTCAGTTTCAAGAGACTCATATTGGGTTTGCCTATCGGTACCTTTGAAGGTCACGTCAGGCACGCCACTCATTTTCTGCTGATTTGATTAACTGCTTTCACCTGTGTTTTCTCTCTCTCTCTTTCTCTTTCTCTGCCCCCCCCCTTCGTTTTCATATCCTCTCATCTACCATCACCATCTTTCCATTCTCTTTCAAGCAGTAAGAGTGTGAATTAACTTCCCGCCTGATCGAATTAGCAATTACAGCGCATGTCTTTCCTCCTCGCCTCGTCGTCGTCTCATCGGCATTGAGGCGCTGCGAGTCCCAGCGGAGTTCAAACTCAGGTCATAGACTTAACACACCTCTGCCGCTCTCTCCGGCACTGTATCGGGGGAAACTTTGCACGGCACTTTAACACGAACAAGCACAGGTACATATTTGAAGGCAGTGGTTCCCAAGCAAATGTTTGTTTTAGATTTGGACAAATGGGAGATGGTTGTTTCTGTCACTGACAGTCAACGCTCTCCAGACAACAAAATGGCCTTGAATTCGTTTCTCGCCCATGACAACTGGTTCCACAAAATTGAATGAAGTTTGTGGCACTCAAAAATGAGCAATATCCCCAAAATACAGTCATTGATATTCTGTTCTTTTTTCATTGTCATCGTGTCCCTGCAATTTAGCAATCCACTGAAACCAAAGAATAGATAATAACAAAACGTTGACATTGAATCATTCTACCACTCCATTATTTCGGTATTACAGGTTCTCGACAATAGGCTGTATTTATTGGTACCTTGCATTTAAACTACACTGGTACCTCTACTTACGAATGTCTCTTCATATGATGTTTTCAAGTTAGGAAACGTCTCAACAGGAAACATATTGCCTCTTGTTACGAAAGAAATTTCAAGATACGAAAGGAAAAAAAAATACAGTATGGGCTGCAACTCGCAGCTCCGAGTTTCCTGAACGCAACATACTTATAGCTGCTCTGCCATTGGCTAGAACCGAGCATCATTCTGGCATCCCATTGGCTAAGAGGGACCTCTACCAAATATGTGTGTGTGTGTGTGTGTGTGTGTGTGTGTGTGTGTGTGTGTGTGCGTGCGTGCGTGTATATAGAAAGATATGTGTCTCTGCAGCGTCCTCGTCATTCGCTTCTTGGACAATGAGTTGTTCCGACAGTTTTAAGTGTGAATCCACAGAAAAAGTGTTCACCAATTGTGCGATCGCTCACCATGCTGATGTTTGCCTTGGACATTTTCAAAGGATTGTTAAAAGCCGCCAAAAGCAAACATCCTTGGATCAGTTCTTTACAAAACGGCAGGCAAAAACCATTTTGAGAGAGAACATGAACTAAAGAGGGAAACAAATGACGAGGTCGCCGTTAAGTTAAATGACCGTCATTTTTATTTATTCATTGTTTTTTACATTATGCACAACTCTCATTTATTGTGGAATAATCTAATTTTAACATGTATTTAATTACATATTTTGCTGCATTTTGATGCTTAAGGAAACATTTATGTCAGAATATTTTTTTGGGGGGGGGGGCTTGGAACGAAATAGCGCATTTACATGAAAAACGAGTCTATATTTAAAAAATTTTCTAGTAAAGAAATTTCTTCCAGAACCAATTAATTTCATAAGTAGAGTACCACTGTAGTGTCAAAGAATGACCGCAGAATGAAGGAACATTGGGTCAATCTGAGGCGTACGAGGAGAAAAGGCAAGCGGGCAGATGATGCAGTTGGCAGAGGGAACGAGGAAGGTCTGTATCACGACGTATTGTTGTGGGGTTTTTTTTTTCCCCAGCATCAACAGCAGAGGAAGTGGAATGTTGTCGCTAAATATACAAACGGCACAATGAGGTAGCCAACATGGAGTAGGTGTGGAACATGAATGTCAGCGCAAGTGTGACCTGTTCATGTTTAAAGAGTGTGAGGGGCATACATGAGTAAAGTTGTCGTTTTTTGGTTTTTTTTTTTGGTGGTGGAGATGGCGGATGTAACCACAGCTTGGGAAACAATTCCTATGAGCTAAAAATGTCACAACGTGTTGCTGTTGTGTGTTGGAGTGTTTGAGCAAATGGCTCCGGAGGTCCCTTGTGAGCCAAAAAGTCACAACATCTTATTGGATTTGAACATTCGGGAAAAAAGACTTGGAAGTAGGGCCAACCCGGAAGGGGGGTGGGGTGGGGGGTGCACCCAGAATCAAGCTAGGGGCCGCTTGATCTGCAGTCAAATGTTCTACCATTGAGTTCTAACCCCTTTGCAGACATTTTATGTTGTCTTGACAAATGTGAAGTCCCGACCAAAATCTCAACTGTTGTGAC